TTTAGAATGCTACACCCACACACGGTTAGCATTTAAAAAAAAAAAAACACTCGCACCTTTCTGTTTGCATTCATACAAACTATTTTCATTACGGTTTCTTTTTAAATTACCTGTGTGTACAAGTAACCTTCCACCTCTTTAACACAAAGAAACCTTATCCCCTGAAGCACATTTTCAATCGAACGAGGTTACAATAGATGCAAATTTTGAAAAGACAGTAGATGAAAACAGCTGGAATGGATGTGGAACATAAAAAATGTCGCCCTCGACGCCCTTCCCCCCGGGGGCTGAGATACCATTAGACACATTGAAGTTCTCGCATCAACTCTGTCACTTTGGTCCCGCTTCTGAACAGACATAACCTCAGGATAGAATTGTGAAGGCCACCACCTCGTGTATTTTGAATGATTGCTCCTATGATGTCGGTATGTCCAAATGGTAACTGAAAACTTGACATTCCTTTCACTACGTCGAGCTAATTTTGTTTAGTTTTGTTAATTCAACTGATTAAAGCTCTTCCCCTGAATGCTTTCTCAGTAAAGAGAAACACGTGGGCACAATGGCGGTCGTCTAATGCTTGAAAAAGCGACGAAAAAAGACAACAAAAAACAAAATGTGAAGGATGCTGACAAAATGAGTTACTTTTCGAATTCCAGTCTCATGGACACAGACAGATTATATCAAAGTTATTGTTTAGGTTGATATAATTTTGCTTATGGAATGATAAAAGGCATTAAACTTGAAGAAAAAAGGATCAGTTTAAAATTTACAAATTTGATGTATGTATGTTCAGCCTTCGTATCCATTCGTGGATTGCGAGAAGTAACTCATTTTGTCAGTACGCCTCACAAATAGAGAAAGAAAATAGTAGGACTTCATCGTGTTGTCCGCCACGTACGCCCAGCTAAACACAAAACAACCCCTGTTATGTCCCACCAGCCCACAAAGTCATATACCCTCCAGTAAATGATCAAAAACGTGTGTTCCAATAGCTTGGCTGCCCCGTGGGATCGAACCTTATAAGATTCCACAAATAAGTTTTAGTCTGATTATCAAAACTCTAGCCGAAATTAGAAAACACTCATAGCTCTGTTAATTACATAACACCTCCTTAAAAAATTACTTTACGGGGAGGGGAAATAAAAGATAATAGTTGCTGTCCTTTTTTTTTTCTAAATAAAAGTATACAGACGTCATGTGGGGGCTCTCGTGGCCTAGAGGTTAAGTTGTTGGCCTCTCATTCAAAGGCCCTGGGTTCGAATCCGGGTAGCGACCAAAAAATGTTCTTCTCTAAAATTGTCTCCTTTCACCTCCTTTCCTGCTCTCTAGCAATGTTCTGTTGTCTGCTTTCATTTCCACTTTCTGCCTCCACTCCCTCACCTCCTTTGCCCCCTCCTCTGGGCTCCTGACTCTTTCTGCAGCCTTTCTACTGCTACTCCTTGGCTCCTCCTTACTGCTGTCTTTCTGCCACACCCTCGATCTTCTGGTAGGTAAGATCTACACCTAGTCTTGTCGGACAAGGGCGAAAAATCTTGGAGGGCCCGTGTACAAGTTGCGCACGTTAAAGATCCCTTGGTGGTCTAAAATCGATAAGAGTAGGCTTCGGCCGCCAACGGCGCAAAATTCAAAATTTCCTACCAACTGAAAATATTAGGGGTGTCCCGCGCGCTCATATGACCTTATGCAGTTGCGAGCGCCGTAAAACACTTTACAAAAACAAACAAACAAGACTTCATGCTCTCGCTGCAATTTGAAGGTAACTACAGATCACAAGACTGAAATACTCGATTATAAAGTACTGACCTCCCAAACTGGGAGTCGAACTTAAGTCTTTAGCGGCAAACGCTGAATGCCTACCCATTACATCACCACATCCAGCATGCTCAGAATAGACTTCTCTAACGTTTCTGCTCCATTAAACAATAATCATTTCGTGGAATCCCGGAAAACAACTTCGTTTGGACTCGCCAAAGCGTGAAATAAAACATCCCTTGCTATTTTTAGAACACCGATTGTTCACACCGATTGTTCAAGTAAAAAAATAATGATTTATTGGGTGGAAACGAAGGAGCGATGAAAAACAAGTAGGTTGCCAAAGAGAAAGGAAGATACGGAAAGTTGATTCATGGTACTAGGCTACTTTGCATTTTTTTTTAGCTGGCAGCTTGTAGCGGGAAGAGGCCGGTGGTTAGTTATTTTCTTTTTCTTTTCTTTTCTTTTTTGTAAGTAAATTACGGCGCCTGCAAAAGGTCATGTGAACGCGCGGGATACATTAAACTTTTTTTTTGTCCCTTGCCCATTTGTATGATATTGACGCCATCTGATTAGTAGAAAAATGAGCGTATGATAGTGCCCAATAATGTTATTACGTACATAATAGATATAACATATATAACTGTTACATATACATGTAGATGTTCAAGATAATTATATATGTTTGTGAAGGATCTGAGAGCAATGGTGATTTTAGAAATGACGATGGTGGTGGTGTTAAGTGATGATGTGGGATGGTGTTTATGTATATA